TTTTTTTATAGTCTGTAGTTGTTAGTATTGCAACGTAACCAGAGGTTATTGCCCTAACATCAGCGTCGAGGCCTTCAACTTGGGATGTGCCGACGACATTCTGACAAGCGCGATAGAAACCAGTTGAAGAGGTGGAAAAGCGAAGAGCTGGAAAGACCGGCCGGGCTTTTATAATAATTTTCACCTCGGCAAAGAATGACTTTTTCGAATTATTTTTATATGTAATCACGAAAGCACTCGTGCAATTATCTCTCTTTATACATAATTTTTTTATCTTTCTCGTTTCATTTCACAATTTTTCATGCGTTCTCTATTTTTCTATCTGTAGATTCTAATTTTGCTAATCTATTTTCTCAATCAATCATTATTCATTAGATTCATCGTTCTCTTCTTGAATATTTAATTGTTATTTTTCTTATCTAAAATATATCTATATAAATATCTCTTTAACTCTATTAATAAAATTATAGATAAATAGAGAGAAAGAGTTCTGGAATTGATAACATAACGGATGCATCATTCCGCGGGGTAAAAGCACGTCGAAACTATCAGTGAATGTCAATAACACATCGACGGCGTGCGTGGATTGCCACCGACGCAACATCTCTCCCGCAATTCGTCTCGCGTTCCACGTGGCGACTTGACATTATGAATTCAAACCATAAATTACATACCTTTGATCAAGTAGTGATCGTGTTTCTCTTCTCGAACATATACATGGCAATTCACTTCTCTCTCTCTCTCTCTCTCTCTCTCACGATTCTTAGTGTACTGTCGCTGAACTTTCTTCGAAAGCGCGTTAAGATTACTGCGCAACGCACGATAAATTTTATTTTATTCCTTTACGTTTTCCTTAGCACACATTTTATCACGGGCATCCTACTTGTTCCTTATCAGATTCCATGCGTGCAACCGTATATTATATTATTATATAGCACCGCGTGCTTGAGACCGGTATTCGGAATGCAGACCGAAAGTTACGAAAACAAACATATCAATCTTCGTTAAGATATATGTAATTTTTAAGAAAATATTTTTTTTATATTACATATTTTCTTAATGGATATATGTTTCATGTATTAAGAGTATTACACAAGAGTTACTAGAGGAAAATGCATAGCCACAGTTATGATTTCACCCTATCCATTATCTGACAGGAAAATTGATCTGCGAAATACGCTGAATTTTTTATTAATACAGTAATAAAGTTATTAATGAGCGCTGAGACTAGCTCGATTGATATACGTTTCACATTCTGTCGGAGAGATATTCACGCTTTCATAACCGGCTGGTTCCTTGCTGCCGACGCATTACTCCTTTCGTTGGAATGAGCGATTGACAATGAAGGGGCGATGTAGGAAGAGAGGAAAAAGTTTCAGTCGACGAGAGCCATACAAGAACGCGCGTGAAAGCGAACCGCACGTTGTTGCTCACAGAACGACGCGGCAATCGGCGTCGAGATAAGTAGAACAATCACACATAATCATATGCAATTTATCAGAGAAAGTGGGCTAATACGAACTGCGTGGAGTGATATCTAACACCTTTGTTTCTCGCGGAGATTTAGAGTCTCGATTTGAGGAAACGCGAACATACGCGTTACAAAAGAGAGAAAGAAAGAGAGAGAGAGAGGAAGAGCCTACTTACTAACTAGCGTGGCTTGGCTTGGCGGAAGTAATAAAGAAGTTTAAGTGTTTCTTTTCTACAAGTACGTTTAACCTTTATGTTCTAGCATACACACACACACACACACACACACACACACACACACACACATAGTGTATATCGACGTCTACACGCGATACACGCGCCTAAGCTACGCTTACTTTCTTCCGACCTTCCGACACCCGGGGTATCATGAACTCAGTACGTTATTAATCGTCATCAGCGTCGTTGAACAGTTAGATTCAAATATGTCGATGTTGCACTGAGATACGTTTCGCATACTTGTTTCACATTTATCTAATTTACATTTTCTACATAGAGCCTACTTACTAACTAGCGTGGCTTGGCTTGGCGGAAGTAATAAAGAAGTTTAAATGTTTCTTTTGTACAAGTACGTTTAACCTTTATGTTCTAGCACACACACACACACACACACACACATAGTGTATATCGACATCTACACGCGATACACGCGCCTAAGCTACGCTTACTTTCTTCCGACTCGATCTTACCCGGGGTATCATGAACTCAGTACGTTATTAATCGTCATCAGCGTCGTTGAACAGTTAGATTCAAATATGTCGATGTTGCACTGAGATACGTTTCGCATACTTGTTTCACATTTATCTAATTTACATTTTCTACATAGCTGCATGTATATATCTGTATCAGGATTTATAGAATCTAGGCAAGGAGATAAAATATTAAGATAGAAATCTACACCGATCGCGATCTGTCAATTTCTCTTTCTTTTTAATTTAAGATAGTAACAGACGCGTGACAAATTTATGTTTCAGGTACTCCAACGAGACATTAAGGCGCACGGACGTATTGTCAGTTCGGTTGTCAAATTAGGAGATAAAGTTTTCACGCAACAACAGGAGCAGAAGCAACAGCAAAAGCAGCAACATCAATTTTCGCAGCCTTTACAGATAGCAAGATCATTGGAACGACGTTGGCATCAACTGTTTCTATTGTCCTTGGAATGGCAGTATCACATTGAAACCCTCGTATCTCGTATAAGAAATAAGGTAAGCCATCTGTATTTTTTATTTTTCACAAAAAGATGTACCTCATCTATGATCGTGAATAATTGAAGTGATTAAACGATATACTTATATATGAAAATATTATTTTTTTTTTTTTCAAAAATCATTATTTTATTATTACATGGCGCGAATGCGAAAAAAACACATGAAAAATATTAAGTTTTCAAATTATAATTTTAACTATGATTCAAACTATGATTTTAATTTATTTCAGATTGCGCTATGCAATCTAAGATGGCAATATCATGTTACAAAAAGCAATATATTTGAAATGTGAAAGTGCGCTTCTAATTAAAATATAGATTACTGTCTTCGTTCTATCACTTTGAATTAAATTTGTCAGTATTCTGCTCCTCGGTTGTTAATCCCGCTGTGCTGGCTGCGGTAATTAAACTCAAACTTGTGAGAAACTATGTCAGACAAGATCGATCGACGGGGATGAGCGAATAGGCGGGAAGTAAAGTGTGGGCAAGCAATAACTTACTAGTGATTGTGCAATTGACGAAGATGCCTCACAATTGATGACAATTAAGAATAGTATATTGAGTGTCTGCTGCTATATGGTTCCGTTTTATCCGACGCACAAAGAGAAAGAAAGCCTTAAGCAAAACTATATTCTAAATGCAACTTACTGCGGAAGTAGGCACTCCTTTACATGAACAACTTCTTTTATGAAATTTAATGGTTTATGCATCGAAGTAAAAATTACTTATTGTACGATTTTAATAACAGAAATGGAAATTTTAACGTGAGTTTGTGAATAATTTGATGAATTTGTGTTATGAAATAGATAGAATTTAAAAGGCTTATTCGAGATTGATTCACATTATAAGACAAAATATTCTCTTGTAATATGTAAACGTATTCATTTTACATTAAATCTGCAATGCAAGATAAAGACGGGGAACGCCTGTGATTTTTAGATTTATCAAAAAGAACATTTTGTCAGTCGCGCGTTGTGTGTGTACGTCGCTATCTATCCTTACTTGATAGTGTAAACAAATACTTATTTTAGTTTATGACACGACAGTTTAAATACAGAGACCATAGATCTCTGCACTTTTACAACTTCAAATATGCGTAATTTTTCCATTGGAGATATAACGTCTATGAAATTTTCTTTTTTAAATCCCCCTGCCTTATGTTTGTTTAAATAAAATTTTATCAAGAGGTTTTCTCCTACGAATCCATCCTTATCCAGTTATCTCTCGTTGAAAGCGGACATAGAAATTTGAACAAAGTATCTCAGTAAAGCATTAGGTGACTACAACTCTCTCTCATCAATTCCAATCACGTCGTATGACGCAGCAGCGCTGATAGTGAGCGATAACTCTATTAATACAAGATAAGTGTTGTACGTAGCAACGCGCATATAATATATTCGACGTTTTCGGTGATGACGAAAACTGATTACAGATATAAATTGATAACATAAATTTATGCAGAGAACCGCTGTTATATTACATTATCGCTTAGTATCGAGTAAAAGGGATTCGGCTGTTTATTGTTTCAGAACGCCGCGTCTTGCAGTAGCGACAGCGACGAGGGACCTGTCACGAAACAGCCTCGTCTCAGCCGCGGACGATCGCGTGGCTCCGGAACGGAATCGCCGGGACAGTCTGTTCGCTCGAGGCGTACGGGACGCGCGAAGCGCGTTGCCGAACACAACTCGGGTTCCGAGTACTTCGATCATCATTCAGTCTCCGGAGCGAGGACCGACCCGTCCGACAGCGACGCCTCTTCCGAGAACCGATCCGTTGGCGAAGGATCGTATTTCGAGGTATGTCACTTTATCGGGCATAGACGGATCCTCTCGCTCGGCAGTTTGCTTTGATTCGTCGACCTTTTGGGACGAGTGAACCGAGCATCCCGCTAACTTTGCACGAAATCCATTATTTACGAATTGGAAAGGTTCCCTATTATTGTCACAGAATACTGTCGTGACCGCATAGCGAGGAGCCATGTCGTTATAGAAATATAAATAAGGTTTATGCGGCGAGTGAATCACGCAAGTAACGGGAGTCATACTTATGTTCCGATTGTAAAATAATCTGAGAAAGATAAGATTGACTTAATCACGCAAAAAAAATATCGGTATAAATAAGGTTTAGATATAAATTTAAATCAACCAAGTCTCTCATCCTTTCCATCTCGCAGCTTTCGTAGTATTCGCTGCAAAATATCGCGTGTCAAAACCTTTCGCTTTTGCATCTCTTGTAAAAAATTGTTAGACAGGAAACAGCTCGTTTAGATTATATTCCAAGAATCGGCAGCTACTATTGTTCTCCATATTGCTGTCATGAAACATGACTATTAAGTCATTGACCCGGTTTTCGAACGCTGCGCGAATCTCGATTCACGCGTCGAGATGTTAACTCTACTCCCTGCTGACATATTCTTTCGATGATGGGCGCAGCTTGCTCTAATTAATTCTTACCGTTATATAATGCTACGATAGCTCGGAATTTGCGTTAGCGTTTAATCAACCTCGATGAACGCATTCTTACCAAGTAAGTAAGAGAGTCGCGAATTACTCTTCCTCCCTGAAATCTCACAATTGCACGAGTTAAACTAAACGTCGTCTTAGCTTTACGAAAGATAAGAGTGCTTCATGTTACTACCACTTTACATTGTGTAGGCTAGAGTAGAGCGCGTTATCCGAATGTGCTAAGTGGACAAAGTATCGCATAGAAGGCTTGCGAAAAACGGCTTCTGTAAAACGAATCGGGCACGCATATACAGTAAGAAGGCTGTGCACCATGGTAGACGGTGATCCTGACAAAAAATAGCGGTCGACTATGTGACAAAAACCACGGTATCCGTGTCGGGCGACCGAGATCTTGTGAAAGACCTTCGAGAACAGTACCTCTTAAATCATAGATATTTTGATGCACGAAGAATTGTATCTTTCACTCACTACACCATATATATCGACATTGTGTAGTGTTCGAAATTGAAACTGATTTAAAATATTCAGAGATAACTTCTGCTATCAATTTTTGTAAGCTATTTAGTAAAACGATGCAAATCAGCAGTTTTAAGAAGGATCACGTTGATTATAAATATCTAAATATCTTACTCGATAATTAATCGCTTATTGCGCGAGAATTTTTTGATATTCAGATGTGCGAAGATAGAACGCGCGATACAGTATGCGATGCTCGCATTAATAAAATATTAATAACAATATCGACTATGCTTTTTCTTACGATGTGCAGGATGAATTATGTCAGCTGTGTGTGATGGACACAAAGTCTGACGAACCGGCAAAACAAGAAGCCACTAGTTCCATTACGTCTACCGCGGGGGATCAAGGGGAGGAAGGTGACGTCGAGGACAACGGAGTGAGCGTCAACGATATGCCGCCTACACCGGATACTGTACCGATAACAACATCGACAGCGGCGATGCAGGAGTCATGCGATGAAATCGACGCGGCGGGTACCGTGCAAGTCAAAAGTACAGAAAAATCCAATAAGGGTTTGCGGACGAAGACCGAGCTTGTGAAACGTTGTGGCGCAACAGAAGTTGCTGCCTCGTTCAACATGTGAGTCGCATTGTTTATCCTTCTCACGCTTATTTCGCAAACTCGAACGATAAATCATAATTGTTCCAAAATTGATTGCCTGTCAGCTCTTTAACATTCATTTTTGCCATGCTAGCATAAGTTTCATGGTTATAATCTCGATGCTTTTAATAAACTGCTAAAGTATTATCCATATATATATATATATTCAATACTAGATTGTTTTCTGATGTTTAGGTCCGATAGAAAATCAAAGAACTGTGCTACCTTTTATTTTAAACATCTGGATACCGATTCCGAGGTGGATTGTAGTCAACCAATCCAGGAATCGTCAAACACAGTGGACGATTCCTCCGAGGAGGAGTGGACTTATACTTCTACTCGTCAAAATAATTCGTTTATCATTTCGGAGCAGCGCAGGACGAACGTTGTGGTCCGTCTAGATTTTGACGAAAGTCCACGGATAGCTATGTCAGAAAATATGCATTTTATATCGGCGAAAAATGCAAAACAACGAGACAACGAGAGAGAAATGTCTGCAGAACGTATGCATGATCATGATGCTCAACAAAAAGATAGCGATGATGAAAGGAAGAATGATAAGTCAAGTATCCAAAAATTAATTAAAGAAGTGGAAAACTTGATTGGTGAAGAGCGACATACAGCCTCGCGCAGCTTTTCGCAATTAGTATTCGAGGAGAAGAACATAACGAATAATCATCGAGCTAAATATGCGCGCGTAAAGGAATGGTTAAAGTTGAACGCGTCGAGAAGTTACGAGGGCAGATCACAGGTAAATTAAATTAGATCGATAAACTTCTAGAAAAACAGAACACAATGAACAGTGTTCTTTTAGATTGAATTAAATATTTTATTTGGTATATAAATCTTGTGCGTAAAATTGTGTGTTTATATTTTTGATACTATTGTTATTTTTAATAATATGTTGGTATTTATGTAAAAAATGTATTGCGCGAATTTTACACATAAGGATACACCAAATAATAGAATGTACGATACATTCATAATTACGGTACGTATATATTACAGCCATTAGATAGTTGCGATGCCAGCGGTGAATATACAACGGAGGAATCCGATGGAGAAAGACAATCGATATCGTCGGACGATTTACAGAGCAGCGTCGCGACCTATCGTCGATTCGAAGGCGCTCTCGAGTGTATATCGCAGTCCCCTTCACAAGAGATACTCTATAATTTTCAGAAAACGCCTGTTAACGAAGTACCCCCCGACGAGAACACGCCTAAAGTCGTAATGCGGTCTAAACAAAAAGTGAAAGGATCGAGACCATGGAGCGTTTCTTGTATCTCTCAAATCGGAAATAATCCTAATTTAGCTCAGATAAACGATCCTTTTTTACCATTCTCTATATCCGAGACTGCGCTTCATCAGTTAGTCACAACTCCGCCTACCAAATCTGTATCCTTGGATGCTACGTAAGTATATTGTCTTTTAATAATCTTCGTTTTCGGTTTTCCTTATTTTTTTAAATCAGCTTTTATATTAATTATTGACTAATTAATTTTTTCTGAAATAAAGGATATATTAAATATATTATCAAATATATTTATATTGCAGAGGAACACGGAAATCATTTAATTCCACATCTACTTTGTTAGAAGAGTCTCTTATATGCCCTGATGATCGTGTAGTTAGAAATATTTCATTTCGCAGAAAGAAAAATAGATTGCGTAAAAAGACTTTGGTAAGAGAAATTAGATTACGATATAAAAAGTATTGATATGAAATTGTTTATTAAATCATGTTAAATGTGTCTTTCTCTTCGAACTATTTTATAGATCACGTCAAATAAATATATCAAATTATCAACTTATATTCATTTAGGGTCGTAAGAGCGAATCTAGTTCGGAAAGCGTGCATGTCAATCATCATTCGGCGGGTAGCGATGGCAGCTCGAATCAGCAACGCTCGTCTCGTAAAATGTATCTAAATCGCACAATGCATACAGTTCCAAAAGAAAACTGCCACAGTCGTTCGACGACTCTTGTTAAATCCGGGTCTTTCTCGGGCTGTACTGTTTATCAACAATTACATGCAGAAACGGCGCTTGCTAATAATTCTACGCCGCTCAGGTTACTTTGTTGCAAGCCAATTGCTTCCACATCAGAGATTGAAAGCGAAGATCATAATTATGCTCAAGGACATCTCGCTTCCGATAACAATATGTTGAATAACGCGTTGAATAGCAAAGAACTAACCAGTCAGCAGTTAAATGTAGACAGTGATGTAGAGATGAACAGTCTTGGTAACAATTCATTATACGAACAGGCTTGGGATAATTACCAGGTGATACAAAAAATTGCATAGCATTTTTAATAAATGCTTATAAAGGATTGCTCTATATTATCAATTTGTTGATTTACAGGAGAAGTATATGAGTGAAGCTTACAGTGAACCATTAGATGTAGAGATGGCTCGACGATTATTGGATTTTGGAGATGATTATCGAAATTTTCTCGATAGTCAGTCAGAATGCGCATCCAGTATAAGCGCCATTCCTAAGATTCGCACATATCATGTAGGTCCTGTACTATTATTCTTTCTCGATCAAGTATCCATATTCTTCCTATAAAAAGGCCAATGTTGCGAAAAAAAAAGTTACATAATTAATTAAATAATAATACATTAATAATTTTTATGTACCTATATGATATTCGAATATTGTGCCATTTTTTATTATGTTTATTGATAGAAATATACATTCATAAAACATCTTAGATCATTACTGCTTAGATCACAGTCACGATAAATAAACTTTTCAAGCAATATAGAAGTGTTTTATTTTTTCATAATATGATTATTAATTGTATGCAAGTTTTGAGATATCTTATCCAATTATGATATAAATTGTAATATAAGTATATTAACTTTCTGATTTATATGAATTGTGATTTCTCTCTTCTAAAGTTGCTTTTGAAGCTGATTACATTGATAAATCTTAAAATAAAGACATATAATAGAAATATATATTATCGATAAATAATCAAAAATTAATATTAGAAAAAAAGGATCAAAAGAAAGATAAATCATTTGCATAACGTCAATGTTAATATGATGGCTTGTGCATTTATGTATGGTATATATGTTGATTGTATCTATATAATATTTTGTGTATTTCACGAGAGAGAGAAAGAGAAAGAGGAAACATCATGTGCGTTATGTAATCAATAATACTCATGCAAATTCTAATCGTTTTTTAGGAAATTGGCGATAGTACGGAAGAGAGTGATAGTGATGAAGAAAATTTACGAAAAATCGTAGAGAATTTACAATCACAGCTTATACTTGCTGAAAATGCTTTTGTAAGATCCAATGGCGTGATTCCTGCAGAACTCGTACGTATTTTGTTACTAATGTTTGCAATAGAATGTCCCCCTGTATGCATATCAAATTATAGATGCTTTTGGAGTCTGGTTTTTGCTTTATCCCTTACTCGTTTTATTCGTTATTTTGTTTCATTATGTAGGTAGTAATTGTATTAGGTCGCCCGTATCATAAATACTGTTACGCATATATGAATATATAAAACATAGTTTAAGTTTATCCTATAATATTATATTTCCTCTCCTATTATTAGTAGCGTATATCATATGCTGTTGGATTAGATTCCAAACTACTTTTTTAGTATAATTTTCATTAGTTATACTTAAAAAACAAAAAAATCTTGTGTTGTGAGATGAATAAGATTTATATGTATATCTCTATATTTCGATTCTATAATTTGTTATATATTAAAATTAGCAATTCTTTAATTTATTATATATTAAGGTTTGCAGTTTTATCAAAGTTTTTATTTATTTTTTCTTTAAAGGAAAAATTGAGATTATCATAATAATTATCTTTCCCGTAAAATCTTCAAAACCATTTCTTTATTATTTTTTATTATTCTCTTTTTCTTCTATTATAAAGATTCTATGTAGTAAGTGTCATTAAATCGTGCACTATTATTTTCGGGTAAACTGTCATGATTGCTTAATTGTAATTGCTAAAACGCGCAAGCTATTTTTTATTATTATATATATTAGCTACGATAATAAAATAATGTAATAAATTGATTAATAAAAATGCACTACTTTATGTTCGATTTATGTCATGATATGTCATGACATGTCATGATAATGGCAGACATAGTAGTTAATCGAGTTTACCTTTCTATCTCTAATAGGCCGAAATGGAGTCTGCGTGTAAAGAAAACTTAGGGTGTTTGCAGACTGTAATGGACTCGCAGAACGGATACTTGCGAAATGAAAAATATTCGAAACAAGTTCGCGGTGAGTACGATCAGTTAATTAATTTTATATCGTTCCTGTATATAATTATTGCTTTGTACTTGTTACTTTGGCCTGAAGGAACTTACTCTATTGCTTATTTTTTCTGATAGAATACGAGATAAAAACTGTCTTTAGCCATTTTTATATTATTGCATGTTAATACACATATAGCACAAAGCTGTTTTTGTACAAAGAGGCGTGAAACATACGATTACATTATTTCATCGTATCTGATTTTTATCTTATATTATCAGTATAATCGTCTTTATTTTTTCGAACGGGCAGATAGATAGCGAAAATTAGAGTGTGCGCAATTTTATTGTGTAAAAATTTTACGATTCTGTTTTATGAATCTACTAAAAAAGTAACTATATTCTTCTGTGCTAAAATTACTTGTAATCTACTATCATCGTGAAACCGGCGCTCTAATTCTATCATTATTGTTCGTGTGCACGACTCGTCGAATATTTAATTAGAAAAAACTTAGAAAAAAGAAAAGCATGAATTCGGTTTTAATATTGTTTATTTTATATATATTTATTTTATTTTACATATATATTTATTTCTCTTATTATTTATGTAATAAATATCTTTAAATAAATCTGTTTATTAGCATGTATCATAAAAATAATAGCATGTGTAATATTTTCTATATTATTTTAATGCGTTTTGCGTTTATTACGATTGTAATTATTATTCAATAAATACGCCGTTTTCAGCATTATACTCTAACTTTGCAGATTTATATATATTTGTTTTAAATAGAAGTAAAAGAAATATTATCAAAATTATAAAAGAAAGCAAAAGAATTACACTAAAAAGAATATTATGCGAGACAATGAGATATATATAATAAGAATTAAATATTATCCTTTCATATATATAAATGCGTATTTCCAATATTATATCTATTAATAAAAATTAACTGACGCAAAATATTTATCATAATTAGGATAGGTTGTATAACGCACAATTACGCACATCTGTAATGCAAAAATTTAGATTGACGTTAAAAAGAAAAAACACTATATACTTTCTAGCCAACGTAGTTCGAATATAAACATATCCGGAGACAAGAGAAAGTAGAAAATATCTATACTTTCAAAGTCACATTCGCATTATATATATAAATAAATCGCCTCGCAGTATTATCCATTACAGACACATCGTCGTTAGTAGTAATATATTCGCTAAAAACTTTCGATTATCTCTCGGATCAGTGTCAAGTTAAGAAGATTAATGACAAATTTATTTCAATCGTACATTTAATTAAATCTCCAACAACACGTGCATGTGGGTGCCAAGGTGCGTGTAGGTGGACACGCATTCTCGCGATTGTGGTATTCGAGAGAGTCTCTCATGTCTTATATAAACTAAACGACTCTCCCCTATTATTAGAGAGTGTATAAAAACGCGAATCCCGCGCTACCGCGAGCGCATCTCGCTATTCATTCGCGCCCGCTCGCTCTCGTATCGCGGTTGACTTCAGGCGTCACGTGGGATCGCAGTGCTCGCGCCCGCGAACGCGAATGTCGTCACAGTGTTTCGATGCGCTCGGATCAGATCGGACGTTACCGAACGTTCGCTCGTCGTAGTGTTTTATCGAGCTCGCGTCGCGATCGCGATTTCCATAAAAAAGAAGGATACCGCGCATTCCGGAGGATCGACGTATCCGAGAGCCCGTTACCTTGAGTTCTTCGCTCCGACAACATTACTGACTCTAATGCTCGCGCAAAGGGAGAAGATAGCCTCGAGCGATTTGCGTACGTATCTACTGCTTCCGTCACGATTGTCTCATTATTATTGCGCGCTCGCGCAGTTAGTTTTGTATCGTAATTAATCATGAACAATATTTATCCTTCGCGTCGATCGATATTTGAAGTTTATTTTACAGCGTGTCATATTATTCGTGGCGAATGTTCGTTACCGAACACGTTCGCCCCGAGCGACATATTCAAAGTTCTTTTTCTAATACAATTGCCGCCATGTTTACGCCAAACGAAATAACGGTTTCTGTATCGCTTTGGACAGTTTTCGTACGAAAATTCCTTTTATGATTCCTTGTCATAACACTGAAGGATTTGTACTGGTATTTCATAGGCAATATATGCTGAATATTGCGAAATTACAAACGGCACGTATCCAAAAACAACGGAAATGCCGTTAATGCGGAAACATTGATTATATATACAAACGAAATTCACGTAAATATTTAAAATTTTACACACACACACACACACATATATATATATATATA